CCCCCCCAGCACCCACCGCCCTTCCTTGCACCCTCCTCGCCCTCAGTCCCCACTGCCCTTCCTCCTGCCTCCAACCCTCACCCTCAGTCCCCACTGCCCTTCCTCCTGCCTCCAACCCTCGTCCCCAGCCCCCGCCCCCCACCGCCCTTCCTCCTGCCCCGTCACCCTCACCGCCCTTCGTCCTGCCCCCAACCCTCGCCCTCAGCCCCCACCGCCCTTCCTCCTGTCCCCCACCTCTCCCCCAGCACCCACCGCCCTTCCTGCCCCCTCCTCACCCTCTCCCCCAGCCCCCACCGCCCTTCCTCCTTCCCCCAACCCTCGCCCCAACCCCCACCGCCCTTCCTCCTATCCCCCACCTCCCCCGTAGCAACCACCGCCCTTCCTCCTGCCCTCACCCCCAGCCCCCACCACCCTTCCTCCCGCCCCCATCACCCTCACCGCCCTTCCTCCTGCGCCCCACCTCCCCCTAGCAACCACTGCCCTTCCTCCTGCCCTCACCCCAGCCCCCACCACCCTTCCTCCTGCCCCCTGTCACCCTCACTGCCCTTCCTCTTGCGCCCCACCTGCCCCCTAGCAACCACTGCCCTTCCTCCTGCCCCCACCCTCACCCCCAGCCCCCACCACTATCTAGTGACTTGCTCACATAGAGGATAATAGTATATTGCTACTACCAATTACCTGTTAGCTCAAGTGGCAGAGGTCTGTGATACTATGGATGTAAAGGACTGAACCCTGCTCTGAGCCAAGTAGGGGGCCATTATGGTTCTATATGATGGAATTTCTGTTTTTTCATGTAGTTGTTTTTTTAAAAACTACATTAAAATAACATCAAGGTTGAAAATTTAAGTACTCAAAAGTAGGAAGTGCTAAAATTAAGGTTGCCTGGTAAAACTTGATTCAGCCCTCTTGTGTATGCACTATATGAAACAGTCTTTAATAACATGAACCTATAGTTATATGATCACATGCTATTTTTTTGTTCACAGAACCCTTGCCTCGTTCACTGCACAGGATGGACTGTGCTGTGGGAATGAATCACAGCTGGGTAGTGATGATGTCTGCAGAGCCCCTACCTCATTTGTTGCAGGAGGTGGATAGTGAATATGGCATAATTGCTGGAAGAGAAAGGATGGTCTCATGGTTAAGGAAATTGAATGCTATCCTGGAGAACTGAACTCCATCCCTTCCATTGGCACACAGTTCCTACCTGATGGTAGGCAAGTTACTTAAACCAACATTTCATAGTTGGTTACTATGTGTTCCCCATTTTCTGGATGCCATTTTCATGATACACTTGGAACCAGATTTGTAGAAATGCCTAGTGCTCACAACTGTAACAGAGGTCGATTAGAGTTATGCTTTGAAGATATAAAGTGGTATTAAAATGCTAACTAACTGTTCTGAAAAATCAAACCTTAGGTGTCTCAAGTTGGGCACCCCAAATTAGTGGATACTTTTGAAAATGTTGGCTTTAATCTTCCTGTGCCTCAATTCCTCAATTGTAAAATGGAAATAATAATACCACCTAATCTCAAATGGGGTATTGTGAAGATAAATTCATTAATTTTTGAAGCACTTGGATACCATGGGGAGAGCACTATAGAAATGCCATGAGGAAAATAATAATTCTGTATTACGTGCCAGGGTGTGGATGGTGTGCATTAAATAAGGCCTGAAGCCACATATTGAACTAAGAGGATAAAACAAGTGTTGAATAGCTACCCATCCACTGAAGAAGGAGCAGTTCCTGTGGAAAAAATAGTACACCTCTACCTCAATATAACGCTGTCCTCGGGAGCCAAAAAAAATCTTACCGTGTTATAGGTGAAACCGCGTTATATTGAACTTGCTTTGATCCACCAGAGTGCGCAGCCCCGTCCCCCCGGAGCACTGCTTTACCGCGTTATATCCGAATTTGTGTTATATCGGGTCACGTTATATCGAGGTAGCGGTGTATGTGGTCATCGAAATTAATAACTGCGTCATCATGCATATGCACCAAGAGCTGAATTAAGGTTTCACAGGAATCTTGGTTTCTCCTAACCTTTGGGCAATTGACTTTGCAACTATATTGTTCTTTTAATGTAGGTTTAGGGTTTGTTTGGTTTTTTGGGGGGGGATTTTTTTAGATATACTGTAATATATTTACACTGGAAAAGGGGTTTTTTAATTACCAATGGAGAGATTTCATAAGGATGTTTGCTGAGGATGCAATGCAGATATACAATATTATATTCCAAAATCAATTTAGCACTGCTGCTAAAACACCTGGGCATTCCTATTCTTACAGAGAAAGCTAGCTGAAGAGAGCAAGAAGCTCCAATTCTTGAATACTCTGTTACGTTTGCTTAAAGAAAAATCCACTAGAGGGAGCCATTAGAGAATTTATATGCATGTATTTTATTTTTTTAAATATAACTTATTTATATTACCATAGCACCTCCAAGCCCTACACATGGATCAGAACTCCATTGTGCTAGGTGCTGTATAAACACAGGAACAAAAAATATTTATAGAACAATTACTAGTTAATAATATTTATATTTGTGCCACAGTGGGGAAGTGTTTGGAATAATAACTGTAACTAAATAACACGTAAACCCTTTCATTGTATGACTACCAGTACCTTGTTTAACCTGAGAAAAACATTCCACAGTTTATCAGTCATTGTGGCTTCTGATAGATACTAGATAAAATACAGTATGGAATTTGTTCATATGGCTGAATGTTTCTATTACATTTTATAGCTTTTATAATGCCAAGCAAATATGCAGATAAAGGCTATATTCATAACACCCCGTGAATGGCTGCAAGTCTTTCTTTTATATTAAAGGAAAGGGGGAAAGGGCTGATAAAGACACACTGAGTTTTGATCATTTGACTTTTAAAAATAAATTATTTTAATAAAACATTATCTACAACTTTATTTTGTCTTTCTGCAGAACTATCCAGGAGCACTGGGGTTGCCCATCAGGTACTAAAAGAGATGGTGACTTTCAATAAATGGTGGCAGATAAGTAAATCCTCTTTATCTGGAAGAAGTCAGTGGATCTGACTGGCAGTTAGGCCCAGAGGGAAGAGCTTTTGTTCTTAGGAAAGGCAGCTATAGGACATACATATAAAGAGGACCTGTGAGGTGTGGTTTAGGCTATTGTACACATGTGGAGCAGCTTGCTAGTGAGAACTGCTACACTGGTGTAGGAGGACAATGTGGAGCCCCCTCCCTGTGGAATTGAAACCTGGCAGGTAGGACCAACAAGGATACCTTATTGCCTAATAGATTAAAGAACCAGAGGGTGCACCCCAGACAGTAGTCCTGAGGGACCCTATCCTCTTGGGGGCTGCTCTCAACTAGCCAAATTAGGAACTATTCTGTTATTAATTGTATCTTTTAAAACTGCGGATATATTTACAGTTTTTTCCGTGAGTAAGTAGTCTTTGTCTGAGTGCTTATTGGAATCCACCAGGTGCTACAACCTATAGGGACTTCAGTACTTAACTTCTCAAGTGTACACATGACATGTTATCAACTCTTTTTAAAAGGTATGATGTACACAGCACTCCAGTAGTCCCGCTATCTGGGGAGAGTGAACTCTTATTGACATTCTCCAGTTGGAGCCTAATAATAGGTCTGGAAAGATTCTTTTTAATTTGGAAGAGGGGTACTGGTCTCTGAGGTAGTGCAACCGCTCTGTTAAATTCAGCACAGTTACAGAAGAATGTTAAGGGTTACTTACACGATCCATTGTCTAGCCAAGCTCTAAGATACAACCGCATTTGCTCCAACCCCTCAGACAGACAAACACCTACAAGATCTCTATCAAGTATTCTTACAACTACAATACCCACCTGCTGAAGCGAAGAAACAGATTGACAGAGCCAGAAGAGTACCCAGAAGTCACCTACTACAGGACAGGCCCAACAAAGAAAGTAACAGAACGCCACTAGCTGTCATCCTCAGCCCCCAACTAAAACCTCTCCAGCACATCATGAAGGATCTACAACCTATCCAGAAGGACGATCCCTCACGCTCACAGATCTTGGGAGACAGGTCAGTCCTCGCTTACAGACAGCCCCCCAACCTGAAGCAAATACTCACCAACAACCACACAACAAAAACACTAACCCAGAAACCTATCCTTGCAACAAAGCCCGTTGCCAACTCTGTCCACATATCTATTCAGGGGACACCATCATAGGACCTAATCACATCAGCCACACTATCAGAGGCTCTTTCACCTGCACATCTACCAATGTGATATATGCCATCATGTGCCAGCAATGCCCCTCTGCCATGTACATTGGCCAAACCGGACAGTCTCTACCCAAAAGAATACATGGACACCAATCAGATGTCAAAAATTATAACATTCAAAAACCAGTCGGAGAACACTTCAACCTCTCTGGTCACCAGGGCCGGCTCTGGCTTTTTTGCCGCCCCAAGCAAAAAACATCGGGCCGGTCGGAGCAGCAAAGGGGGGGAGGGGAAGAGGGGAGCAGGAAAACAAACCTGCCCCCGGCCGGAGCGGCGGGGGGGAGAACAAACCGGCCGGCCGGAGCGGAGCAGAGTGGAGGGAGAACAAACCGGCCGGCCGGAGCAGCGGGAGGGAGGGGGGAAGAACAAACCAGCAGGCCGGAGCAGCAAAGGGAGGGGGGAACAAACCGGCCGGCCGGAGCGGCGAAGGGGGGGTGGCGGGAAACAAACCTGCCCCCGGCTGGATCAGGGAAGGGGGGGAGAAACAAACTGGCCGGCCGGAGCAGTGAAGGAAAGAAAAAACAAAAACAAAATACCTGCGGGGTGGCGGGAGCGTGGATGCAGGGGGACTCCCGGCCCTGCAAACCCCGGGCAGCGGAGTGCGCACCAGCTAGCGGGGGGGGGAGAGAGAGAGAAGGGGGGCAGCCAGGGCTTCCTTAAGAGGGGCGTTTGCCAGGCGGTCCCTCCCGCCCCACCTCCTGCAGGGAGGGCTCCGCGCCACTCCGGTCGGCAGGCAGGGAAGGACGCGGGCTCCCCTCCTCCGCGCCGCTGCCCCCTACAGGGCGGCGGGAGCAGCAAACCAAAAAGAAAAAACCTGCAGGGGTGGCCAAAGCGGTGAAGCGCAAAAAAGAAAAAAAGAAAAGGATTAGATGGAATGCCGCCCCTTGGAATCTGCTGCCCCAAGCACAAGCTTGCTCCGCTGGTGCCTGGAGCCGGCCCTGCTGGTCACTCGATTACAGACCTCAAAGTCGCAATACTCCAACAAAAAAACTTCAAAAACAGACTCCAATGAGAAACTGCAGAATTGGAATTAATTTGCAAACTTGATACCATTAAATTAGGCTTGAATAAAGACTGGGAGTGGATGGGTCATTACACAAACTAAAAACTATTTCCCCATGCTATTTCCCCCCCTACTGTTACTCACACCTTCTTGTCAACTGTTGGAAATGGGCCATCCTGATTATCACTACAAAAGTTTTTTTTCTCCTGCTGATAATAGCCCACCTTAACTGATTACTCTCGTTATAGTTAGTATGGCAACACCCATTTTTTCATGTCCTCTGTGTATGTATATCTTCCTACTGTATTTTCCACTGCATGCATCTAATGAAGTGGGTTTTAGCCCATGAAAGCTTATGCTCAAATAAATTTGTTAGTCTATAAGGTGCCACAAGTACTCCTCGTTCTTTTTACAAGATTGTGTACTATACTTGTCTTGTTCTTTTTAATGTATTTTAATGCTAGATTGCCTTGCTTTTCTTTCTCCTCCTTTCCCCTTTAGTCCTTCACTCCAGTTTTTCGTTTCTTCTACTGTATTTGCTGTCTGATTTGCATCATTATAATTTGCATTATTTTCTTCCCATTATTTTTTCCTCCAGTTTCCTTCTCTTTTCCTTAATCTCTTCCCTAATAGTCTTGTCTACTACATTTTTTTCACTACACTTTCTTACCATAGGTAACATTGTGGGAGTGCTAGTGTAGACCACGAACTGACAGTTGCCAACATTTTAACAACCATGTTGGCTCGAGCTGGTCCGAGTAGATGTAGATGGCACCATAGTTAAAACTTAAAATGCAAATTGTCTACACTAATGATCTGCAACAAGTGGGAGCCATGAGGGGAAGTTGTAAGGGGTGGGAGGGAAGAAAGCAATGCAGCCAGAGCCTAACTCACATGCTTACATACTGGCACTCCCCTCTCTGCCCCCTTACTCACGCCTTGGCACCGCTGTGCCCAGGCTTGCCTAGTCTCTCTCGCAGGGAGAGAGAATCCCTCGTCAGCTTGGTTTAAATGGAAGGTGTTTGCCAAGTCTCTCCCCCAGGGCTGGAGGACGGAGTTTGCTGTGTGTTACACTAACGCCTTCCCGCTCTCCCGGCGCTATTGGCCCGACCCCCCCGCAGTGGGGCCCGCCGGCCTGTCCGTGCGCGAAGCAGGCAGGGCACCTGCACCTGCCTTTGACCCTCCCCCCGCCTGTCCCTGTGGATCACGTGTCCCGGGCTGGCCAATCCGGCGCGGTCGAGGGCGGAGGTAGGCCCCGTTGGGCTGGGTGTCTGGAGCCGCTCGGGCCGGGGCGGCGCGGCCGGTGCTGGCCCCATGAAGCTGCGGGCAGAGGCGGAGCAGAGACCGGCCTGGGCCTGTCCCGCTGCCCCTCGCGGGCTTGGCCGCTTTACCGGTGGGTCGCCCCCGGCCGCTCAGCGGGGCCCGCCCCACCCCGCGCGCAGGTGCGGTTAGCGCGGCCGGCAGGTGAGGATGAGTTTCCCCGGCGGCGTCTCCGGCTCTCCCGGATGCCGCGGCTGAGGCTGCTGCGGCCCGTGCCCCGGCCCCTGCCATGGCTCTGCTGGGCTCCGGGGCGGCGGCCGAGGGCTCCTCGGCGGGCGGCGGCGGCCCGTCCTGCCCGCTCTGGACCGCGCTGTACGATTACGAGGCGAACGGGGAGGACGAGCTGAGCCTGCGGCGGGGCGACGTGGTCGAGGTGCTGTCCAAGGATGCGGCCGTCTCGGGGGACGATGGCTGGTGGGCGGGCAAAATCCGCCACCGCCTCGGCATCTTCCCGGCCAACTATGTGACTTACCAGCCGGGCCGGTACCCGCCCCAGCACCGCCAGCAGGACAAGGGCGGGCGCCCGGCCCCGAGCCCGGCTCCGCAGGACTGGCGGGCCGGAGGCGGGGGAGACCAGCCAGGCTCCCTAGCCCAGATTGACTTCCAGCATCTGGAGCTGCAGGAGATCATTGGCGTGGGGGGCTTCGGCAAAGTGTATCGGGCCACCTGGAGGGGCCAGGAAGTGGCGGTGAAAGCGGCCCGGCAGGACCCCGATGAAGACATCATGGCCACAGCGGAGAGCGTGCGGCAGGAAGCCAAGCTGTTCTCCATGTTGAAGCATCCCAACATCATCGAGCTGCACGGAGTCTGCCTGCGGGAGCCCAACCTCTGCCTGGTGATGGAGTTTGCGAGGGGAGGCTCCCTCAATAGAGCCCTAGCAGGGGCAGCCACCACCGGCGGGGGAAGCCGTTGGGGCCGCCGCGTACCTCCGCACATCCTGGTGAATTGGGCAGTACAGATAGCCCGCGGGATGCTCTACCTGCACGAGGAAGCCATCGTCCCCATCCTACACCGAGACCTCAAATCGAGCAATAGTAAGTCTTCTAAATGACTTTTGTTTTAAGAGGGTATTTCAACTATCTCTTTAGTGTGTTTTAACCATGTTTTTTATGATGATCAGCAAAAGAGAGGAGGCTGCTGTATAAATCAGATTTATGGAGTGAGAGGGACATGGCCTGTTAGAGCTACACATTTGTCACAAGCTGCTGGATGTGGACAGTTGGAATGAAGGCGCTAACACATGAGACTTTGACTTACACGTTACACCTGTAATTGTGACTTTTTGTAACCAGTTAGACATGTTGATCTTATATTCATAGAATCTCAGGGTTGGAAGGGCCCTCAGGAGGTCATCTAGTCCAACCCCCTGCTCAAAGCAGGACCAATTCCCAGACAGATTTTTGCCCCAGATTCCTAAGTGACCCTCTCAAGCATTGAACTCTCAACCCTGGGTTTAGCAGGCCAATGCTCAAACCAATCTTAACTGGCTACAAGTTCAGCTGGTGTCCACAAACCAATTTATTGAGATGGTGTTGGTGTATCTGCACCCACCACACTGCATAGGTTACATTATATTGTTTTCTGGGGAAATCTGGGCAGCTATCCTGTGGTACCTCAGCGAGGCATAATATGGCCTCCCCTCTCCAAGTAGGCCCTGTGGCAATGCATTGAGGATATCCTTCTGTACAGAGTTAGAAAGGAGGAGGATTGGTTAAAACCATAAACTGACACCATTAGGAAGTGCTATATTGAAATAAGTGTTTATTTGCTTGCTGGAAGACAGTCTTGTGGCAGTGGGAGCTTCTGGCAATAGTGACATGGTTGGTTAGTTGTCTTGGTTACTGATCAATCATGTGATATGTAAGCCAACCATATCACTAATTAGGTAAAAACTCTGTTAAAAATTAGCACAGAGTTTATATACCTAATTGTAACACAGAGAGCAAAGTCCTATCTTCCTAGACAGAAACTTAAAAAAAAAAGAAAAAGAAAACTGAGTAAAATAGCAGACTCATAATATACTTTCTTCCTTGTCTGTTCTGTGGTTATAAAACACTTCACAATAAAATATATTTTTCATAGTATCTTCTTTCTTCCTCTCCAACCCTATTTTTTTATTAATGAAAGATTTAATGATGGTGACTATCACATGATATTTATGACTTCTATCATACTTTTTTCATTAACATGATTTAGTGCTGATGAATGGTGTCAGATTAATGGACATGGAGATTCTAGTTCTTTCATTTCAAAAAAGATAGTGAGATGGTGGCAGTAGAAGTTCCTCTGCTCTTGTTATGGAAAACCACCTGAAGGAGTGAGAGGGAGCTCAGTTTTTATGCATAGTGAATCCTTGGTGTCTCTGCAGGAGTTGCTAAAATTGCTAATATTTTAGATCCTTTTGTTTTGTGAGTGCTGGTCCCCTAGAAACTGGATTTTGGACCAACAACACTTGGTTGTTACTATCATAGGACATGTTTGAATTAGTGATCTAATGGTGAAAAGTATGTTCCTGTGGCTAATGTCATTTTAAGTTTTGGGGGCTCTGTCTATGCTAGCCTTTTTTTCCTCTAATATTTCACACTGGTAGTTTCACCAGAGGGGGATAGTGATGGAGGTTTTCTTGCAGACAAGAGGTTGGCAGCTACTGATATTTTTTACACTGTTTAGACTTGCTCTGAACGGAGTGATTAAAATGTTAGTGGCTGTTGGCACCTTATCCACACTGCTCATGTTGCAACCAGTGGTGATAAATTCTAACTTTATTTCGTTTAGATTTACATTATAAAAACACCCATATAGGAACTCTGAGCACCCTGACTAAAATACTTAAAATAACCACCCATCAGCATTAATACCGATGGGCATTAATAATGACTAGGGCAGCAACAGTGAGGACCAGGGCCATCCTTACCTTTACGCAAAATACGCAGCTGTGTAGGGCACCAGGAAATTTGGGGCACCAAATTTCCTGGTGCCCTGCACAGCTGCGTGCTGCTCCAGCCCCTGCGCCGCCTCTTCCCCATGGCCCATGCCCCTGCTCCGCCTCTTCCCCGGCTCTTCCTGCCCGTGCCCCACCCCCATTCCCACTCCCCTGAGGACTGCAGTAGGGCCGGGCCTGCAGCTTTGTGTAAATTTCCCCGAACCAGTGTCTGTGGGGAGGGAAGCCAGTGGCATGTACTTTCTTTATCCCCAGATGAGAAGGAAAGTTGGGAGGTGCCAGGATCTGTCATTTTCCATCCCCGTGGAGAAAGAGAAAACTAGCAGGGAGAAAACTCTTCCTGTAGTGGGGGGAATAAAGGAGGCAAATGTAGATTGATTGATTTTTATTTTTGGGGGGGGGGGGGAAACCTTTGTTTCCTCTTACCTGTTTTGAATGTGGTGCCTGTCAGTTTCACTTGTTCCCCTTGTTCTCTGAGGAAAAGGTAGTTAGGACTTACCGGATGGATTTAGCTGGCCGATATCAGTACAGGATATCACTTCATGCAGGAAGGCTCCGAGCACCATAAGCTCTCTACATAGGATCCATCTCTTCTATTTGATGTGTTCTTGTTTCATGCAACTTGTGAAGAACCAGAAGGAGATGATGTTCACAGGAAACTGAGCGCCCAGAAGCATGAGTGAAGGGGTACACTCTGCTTTTAGCTGGGGAGAGGAGGTGGGAGAGGCATGCACAGCTGTGCTCCCCCATGTCCCCTCTTTTACCCTTAAAGGTGTCATCACAAAAATACATAAAGATATGTCCACTTTTGAATAACACATTTTTACCTTTTAAATATAGATGTAACATTTATCAATGTACATGTATCCATTGTATATTTTGCAGTCTTCATGACCCACATGGATGGCAGTAATGAAGGAAGAGGTTGTTTGGAAAGGAACGTGGTCCACCTCTGGGTGGCTTGCAGGGTCTCTTGTCACTAAGCAATTCCAAACTTTGGTATTAATCTAAAGAAATTCCAAGGCAAAAAAAAAATAGAATCAAGATTGAAAGGAGGATTTTACCTGTCTTTATCTGATACATCTGCTTAAAAAATCCTGAGGAAATCATTGTAGTTTCTCAAAACATAAATAAGTTGAGAAATTATAAATTCAAGTTCCACTTGAAGAAAAAGAAAATGTTCAAAACTGTGTAATTACTTACCTGTACATCCTTAATTGTATCCTTGGGGTACAATCTGAAATCAATCAGACACTCAAGTCTTCTTTAACTATCATATGGGTTTGTTAATATTAAAGTAATGTATTGTCTTATTGTTGCTGTTTGACTGATGGTTGAATGTTTATCTAAGAGTTTTTGGTTAACAGTTATAATACTGAAGAAAGAGTTAAGGGTGTTTAGGTGACCATAACTGTTTGTTTATTTAAATATTTAACTCTCTCTTTAAATAGAGTCAAGCATTTACTTCTGAACAGGGGCACCAAATTAAATGAGAGGGCTAGGGAGATTTGGGTTTACTTGAGCCTTTGGCAAACTTTCCAGGGCCTTGTCTAGATTAGGATTCTATACTGCATGTTAGTGAACACGTATTAGCCTGCACTTTCCAAATGCTACTTTAATTCCAGTACCTGATTTTAGAACATTCAGTGCCTCCAGCTGGGAAAAACAAGTTCCACATCCTGAATGCAGGTGTTAGTACCTGCAGGAAACTTTCCATGGAAACTGAGTAGCCTATAATTTAAAGGAATCACACACAAAAAGTGAACAGTGAAACCGCAGAAAGTGGACAGTCTACCTGATGTGGCTTTATTTAAATTAAGACGGGAATAGCAAAACTGAAAATAGGAAACTGTTTTTAAAAGCTGAATAAACAACTGTGATGTAAGTAAATTAACACTATAATACCCATACAAATAGCATTCTCACACACTCATTGAACGCTGTTACGTAGAATATGCTGAGGATCTCCCTCCCCACCCCCCAAATGCACAGAGATTGGCTGTTTTAGAGATATTGAAAGGCTTGTTGCCATGGCTAAGAGGCACCAGAAAGGGATAGTGAGAAGGTGTCCAAGACAGTAGGACAGAGGTGCCTCAGGAACCAGGGTGGGTACTGGTGAGGCTGCAGAGCCTGCTCTGATTAAACTGCTGTCAGCTGTTAACCAAATCACTCTTGTTACCTTGCTCCTGGCTGAGGTAGGGTCCCTGCTGCTTATAAGGAAGGCAAAAATCAAACAGTCTCTTTCCTAGAGTTTCTCTGAGGTCCTTCCTAGCAAGACCACTCAAATTATGGTGGAGTGTACTATTAAAATAACTGAGAGAGAAAAAGAGGTTATTCCAGTCAGAAGATGATACTGAAATCTTGCAAAATACCTCTGTTTCCCTCAAGTTTTTCTTCAACCCTCTGAACTCAGGATTGTTTCTCTTCAGCTTTTCTTTCTCTGTCCTCTCCTTATGGAGAAAAATTCTTGGCTTTTGATAGGCTATGATAGGTCTGAGATTAATCTATATGAGCTATACTTTTCAAAACAGTGAGCTCTCCTTAGTATGACAGTTAGAGACAAACCCATAACTTCATTCAGAAAATGTTGAGGGCAGTTTCCATCCTGGAATCACTGGGCGATGTGGGTCTATGTTTTCATGTGATCTCCCTTGGCTTTGTGAGAGTTGGGAGGGGAGAGAGAGACCTGCAGCGTTAAATTCTCTGTCCCTCAGTTTGCGCATCTATAACATGGGGGTAATGCTTGCCCATCTTGAAGTGCTTTGAGATCTATGGGGAAAAAAGAAGATATGTAAGTGGAAAGTAGTAGTATTGCTGTCCATCTTGCACCAAACTTTTTAGAATGCTGTGCTAGCATAGACCAATACTTGCAAGTTTTAGTTGGTGTCATCTCTCCCTAATGACTTCCAAAGTAAGCCTTTCCTAAGGGAATAGGGTCTGTTTTAATTCAATGGCATAGATGTGCCACCTTTTTTATCTATGTATCTTTTGTAAAATTAGGTCACTTCTTTGAGTTTCTTACCCTGTATTTCTTTTTCTTTCTTTTGTACTGTTCTCAAGAATCTTTTTTCATGGTTTAGTGTACTCTCACAT